TATCTCTCTCTCTCTCTCTCTCTCTCTCTCTCTCTCTCTCTCTCTCTCCCTCTCTCTCTCTCCTTCCCTTTCCTTTAGCTTTGCTTCAGAAAAAATTTCTGATAAAAGGAATCATAACCTGAGAAACCTGGAGAACAAACATTTAGATACAACAGAGTTGACCTGTGAGTAAAGGTAAAGCTGAGAATTTTCCAACTCTTCCTCCCTTTGTAATTTATTCACAGAGGTCAGCACTGTCTTTGCCCCTTTGTGATTCATTCACAGAGGTCAGCACTGTCTTTGCTCCTGGGGACGGTGAGGTCCCAGCACAGCTGCCACCCTTGTCTAACAATCGCAGATCTTTAGCTCCTAAGCCACCCGTCAGAATCAGGCATTGGGGCTCCATGCTGGGCCCCGCCAGGGCTCTTCTGTCCTTGCAGCCCACTCTCCTCCCTCCTCCCCCTCTCTCCCCAGAACTCACCGAGGGGTCCGGGCGCTCACGGCTGGTGATGGCAGGGTTCATGGCAACTCTGGGTCTTCTCCTGTGGGTGTCCTCTCAGGATAGAGAAGAACTGAAGCCTCTCTAGTAGAGAAAGATGAACTTCCCAAAGCCTGCTGAAATAACAAGGAGATAGAAAGGCTCTGGGGAAGGTGGGGCCTCCAAGCCCCGCCCGCTAATGGACAACAGACTCCCCCACCGCACCTCATCCCGCCCCCAGTCCTCTCCCTCTCTGGTCACTGCAGGGGACCAAGGTGCGTTCTGCTGTAGCCAGTGTTTCACACTTTGACAGGTTAGGGCAATTAGAGACGTTAATGACCCCCTGAACACAAGGAAACAAGTCAGGGCACAGCCCCTGTGGCAGGCGCACACTTTCCAGAAGCCGGGACGGGAGGTGAGCGAGTGAGTGAGGGTGAGGCTCTGGGCTGAAGCCAGAGGCTTCAGTTTTCTAAAGCTGGTTCTGGTGACTGGTTGAGCTGGAATGCAAACATTGCAAACATCGCCTGTGGGCCTGGCTCCTGAGATGCATTCATGAAGTCATTAATGAGGAAAAGAGAATTACCGTTGACCTGGGAGCAGCTGCCAGTGCTCCTTGTTGGGGCAAAGCTTCAAGCGAGAGCCTGAGAAGAAATGACTTCAGTCCTCGGGTGACTGTCTCTGTAACAGCCAGGAAACGTCTAATGACGCACCTTCTGGGAAGAGAAATTCAGGAGGGTGTCATTGCTCTTATTCCGGACAGGGCACTTGGAAGGCTCTATAAAAAACTCTTGATAAAGCCCACTCGGTGAAGTTCATAGTTACTCAGGATGGTGAAGTGTTCTGGAATGGGCGGCACTGAGTCTCAAGATTCTGGAAGCACATAGCAGTGTGCACCCGGACGCCAGTGGGAGCTGGTCCAAGAGCAAGCCCTGAAAAACACAACAGTGAGACTAGATGTGTCATGCGGGAGGAGACAGGCCTGCTCTGGGCTGTGACAGAAAGCAAAGGTCAGAAGAGAGTCAAAGGTCACAAAGTAGCTGACCTCCACGGAACACGTTGCCACCGACACTACGCTCTGTTTTATATGATCGTGTTTTATGTTCACCACAGAGTAGCATTCACATCCTTCTTTCACGGATTGAGAAATTCAGGGCTGGATGGGTTGAGTGGTTTGCCCAAGGTTATAGCAAACACTGCAACTGAAATTCAAATCCAGACCATCAGGTTCCACAGCCCTCGGGGGTCAAGGAGATGCCAAATGGCGATGTGCAGGCTGAGGCTCAGGGAAGATGTTGGCCACGGAGGAGGCCCCCCACCCTGTCCCTGGATGAAAACATTGATCCTCTACGAATGGCACCCAGGGCTCCAAGTTCACCTCAGAAGTGAAGGTCAGACTGAGCTTCGGGGGGGCACGGCTCTGCGTCTGTTGGGCTCCCCCAAACACACTAAATGAGCAGTTCCCTGAGCTGGACAGTTATGCGGTGAGGACAGAGAGCAGGTACCCATGTTCAGTGGAGCGGTCCAGGCTTTGTCACCACAGGAAGCCTGGCTGGTGTGGGCCGGAGGGGAGCTGCCTCCCCTGCCCACCACAGCCCCACCCTCGCAGGCCTGCGGGCACGGGCAGAGTTGGGTTCACACTGAACATCTCTTCTCCATGTTATACCTTTGGGGCAACATGGAAGAAGGGACTTTACAGAGACTCTGCCCTGCCCGCACTGCAAGTCCTGCCTTGCCTGGCTTTGCCCTCCCTGCTGCTTGTCTAGGTGCACAGTTCAACTCCTCTGAGCGGGAGGTAAAATGGTGTGGGTTAGCGGCCCAACGGAGGCAAAGCAGAAAGATGGTCTCCTGTTACCACTTCATCTGATTGCCTGTACGCTGTTTCAGAACTTTCTTCATTCTTCATCGTCAAGTCCTCGCTCTCTTCAGGGCCTGGCACGTGGTTCCGTGTACAAGTCCTGTCTGCATCTACCCTTTGGCTTGTGGTCACTGCTACTGTCCATGGAGTCCCCACCTTCCTCAGCTGCTCAGACGAGGAGCTAAGCTTTCCTTCCCTCAGAAGTCACTGCTGCAGACATTGCTCCCTCCACTCATTGGCCTGGCCTGCCTCCTGCCACCATCTCTCATCCGAAAGCCACTGTGGTACCCCACAACTCTCCCACAGCTTCAGCCGCCCAGCTGGTGGCCTCGACTTCCCTCCCCAGCTGGAGTCATCCTTGATTTACAACTTCACGGTCTGAATAATCCCCATACACACAGCAGCTTGAGGTTCACCGCACTCCCCCAGCACATTCACAGGTGATTATTTATGACCCTGGTGTTACGGAATGAGTTACGGAAATCTAGTTCTACTAATTAGCAACGAGAGGAATTTGTTTTAAGAATATGGGTTCTCTCTGGGAACTCATGATCTTTCCTCAAATACACAAAGGAGCTAAAACTCTTCCATTACATTTCCCCACAAAAGCTCCCAACCCCAAATTTGAGGCAGTTGCTCAACGCGCACCCCCCCCCCACCCTCACCCTGGTGCTTTGGGAGAAGAAAGGCACTGGGCCTCTTGTTTACAATGCTGATGGCCCCACTGGAAGCACCATCTTTGCATGCGAAGTAGGCTAAGCAGGAAGGCTCGGCCTGGGCCTTTGGGCATTGAGGTCGGATAAATTGGCAGTTGGCTATTGTAGGAGGGAACATGCCAAGAGACAGTCATGGGGCAAATCACACTTGACAAGAGCAAACGAGGCCAACAGGGTTTCTAAAGAGCAGGTCCAATTAAACTGTAGGTGCTGCTCTTGGTATTGCCTTTCAAATTCATTTAGCCTTCTCTCATTTTCCTCTTTTTTATTTTTTAAATATATTTTGATTGATTTCAGAGAGGAAGGGAGAAGGGAGAGAGACAGAAACATCAGTGATAAGAGAGAATCATTGACCGGCTGCCTCCTGCATGCCCCCCACTGGGGATTGAGCCTGCAACCCAGGCATGTGCCCTGGCCAGGAATCGAACTGTGATCTCCTGGTTCAGCGGTCGATACTCTACCACTGAGCCATACCAACCGGGCCTCTCACTTTCCTCTTGAAAACCATCCTGATCTACAGCAACCAGGCATGTACCTCAGGCAGGGTTTCCTCTGTCCTGTGGCTGCCTTGCATGGGGATGGGGGCACAGCTGGAGTACTGCAAACCCCTGGCCATGGCCTTGGGTTAGCGATGGGCATGGAGCCCAGCTTGAGCCATGAGATGCAAGGAGACTTCTGCTGGGACTTGGGAGTGAGGCATTCCCTCTTTTTCACTGACCTTGAACCTGGAGGATGTTGCTCTGCAGCTGCTGGCAGCCACTCATGACTACCTAGAGCCTGAGAAGGAAGCCAGCCTGGAACACAGAGCCAGAGGGAGAGAAGCTGGGTCCCAGTGGTGTTCGAATCCATATATCATGCCATCCACCTTTGCTAGTAAGTGCTCTTTTGGGCTTAACCTAATTTGATTTGGGTTTTCTATCATTTGCAACCAAAATATACCAATCCACAAACTTACACTTTTATCTACAATCCCAGACCAGTATAGAATGATTTACATAATATTTGCTGATTTTTTTACCCTTCACTAACAATGACTGTTAAATTCCAAAAGCATTCAAATAACTTAAACATCAATTCTAATGTTAACGACCTCAACCTAATTTTCCATGATATATAGATTTGTCTAAAATGTGGCAAAAACAATCCAAGAGAGGCCCTGGGAGTCGATTTAAAGGCCACTTGTTCCTAAGAGGCTTCACTCAAATAAATACCTCAAATAAATACGAGAAACCAACATTAGCCATGGAAGGCGGGCTTTTCCACATCTTTAGAGCCCTGACCTATTTCATCACAAATTGGAGTTGTAGGATTGTAGGTTTGGTTCTGCAAAATTGTTTACTTCCAATTTTGATAAGTGCAGCTTCGGAAAGCTGCCTCAAGTGGACTGTGGCTCTTGATTTATGACCTCACGGTCTAAATAGCCTCCATATTCACGCGTAATTGAATTTCAGTTGATAAAACAGAGGTTGGCCAGCTCATAGACTCAACCTGGCCCATTGCCTGTTTGTGTGAATAGAGTTTTACGGGAACAGATCCACGCCCACTGGTGCACATGGTCTCCAGAGCTGCTTTTGTGTCACCCGGTTGAATAGCTGTGACAGGCCCACAAAGCCTAAAATAATTTATTACTGGCCGTTTTACAGAAGGACTTTGCTCACTCCTGTTCTAGAATGCCAGTACAGAAACTCATGCTTAAGAAAAACATATCACTTTTCATTTTTTCATTGCACAACGTAGGTATGATTTTAAATAAAAACAAAGTATAAATAAATCTTTTTTTTTTTTTTTTTTTTTTTTACCCAAGTTTCTCCTCTCCAATTGCTACCAGTCTGTGCTTTTCTCTTACAGAGCTCCACATAGTACAAGCCTCTGGGTTCGGGCTGGCGTGCACAGGCATGCCTCCGGGGCTGTTTAACGGGAATTTGCCATTAATCATCTGGTTTCTCTGCTCTTGTGTAACCAACTGCTTCTGCTAACCCTTCAGTTTGTCTCCGAGTCTTGGTGCTCAAGCCCTTCTGTGGGACAAGCAGGGACCAAGGAAGAATGTCCAGGGGTGGTGCCAGGAGCCAGGGCTGGGCACCTGGGTGGGATGAAACTGACCTGAGGGCTGTGGAGGAGAGCCGAACCAAGGCCTGAAACCAGTGTATGGAGAGTAGGGTTGAAAACCACTTCTCTAACACAATCAGGCAGATTCCAAATTTGGAAAACAAGTTGCCATAATTTCACAGCTGCTCCGAGCGTGGTGCCCTGCAGCCAGCTGGGTGTCTTCGAGATTCTGGCTCTTCCTCGTAGCACTCGGTGGAGGGTGGCCCTTCAGCAGGCCGGACCCTCCCTGCTCCTGCGTGTCCTCCTCACTGCAGTGTGGGCACTGGCTCCTCTTTGTGAATCAGCCAAGAGGTGTGGGAGCCTGGGCCAGAGACCTTTTAGATCTGGGCTATAGACTGAATGTTCGTGTCCACCAGGATTCATTCATATGGTAAATCCTAAAGCCAATGTGATGGTATTTGGAGGTGGGGCCCTGGGGAGTAATAAAGGTGGAGCCCTTTTAATGGAATGAATGCCCTTATCAAATAGATCCCACAGAGCTCCCTCGCCCTTTCTGCCATGTGAGGACACGGCAAAAAGACGGCCGTCTACGAACCAGGAAGCAGGTCCTCGCCAGTCACTGCCACCCAGCCTCTGGTATTTTTAATTTAACAGCCCAGACAGACTAAGGCAATCTGGCACGTGCGGAATTCCCTTGTGATTGGTTTTATAAGAAGAGAATGGTGGTTTTGGCCTCTGGCCTTTCCTCTGCTCAATGCCTCTCAGTAGGAGTTTGACCTAAATACTTTTGGCAAGCAGCGTCCACCTTCTCTCCAGGCGCTCG